TGTGTAGTGTACTATTACTTGAACCCGCCGTGCTCTTGTCTTTTTACTGTTCTGCCCTTACAGTGCGTATCCCTATGCGTAGCTAGACAGTTAGCTAACATTTAAAAGTCCTCCAATAAAGATGCAGGGTTTTCTTTCTTGACTTTACTGTTCTTCTTTTACTTTGTAAAACTGTAACAATACAGAAATAAAACACATATAAGTATGCAGGCTTTACATAACATATAAGTAGCACTGTACAAACGACACACATACTACGATTAGGAATTAGCTATCATTAGCATCACTATTAGCTAGCACACGTCAGAATCGTCACTTCCTGTACTGACAGGACTGAGAGTGGAGGTCTGCACCGGAACTGTCCTGAAAGTGGAGGTCTGCAGGCAGACCCCTCTCACACCTTTTGCAGAGTCAGTTACTATTTAAAGGTTTAATACTGAATATTTTAACTTTAAGTTTTTTTCACATTTCCACTATCTTGACAGAGTAACTTTTCTGTCTGTTTGTTTTAGTAGAATATTTTATTTCCTGAGGGAGTTCTCTACTAACAACAACAACAACAACAACAACAACAACAACAACATGACTATGTTACACTGGCTGGAAGTATTCTGTTTCCTCATGAGCATTATTTCTTTTGATATCTCTTACTCTGTTTGCTAGTAGGCTATATCCACTTTAAGCCGGAGCCTGCAATTCTGGAGAAAGATGACATTTAAACTCTACATCCACACAAACACCTCGCTCCCATCACCATCAGTTGTCAAGTTTCAGATTTAATTTACAGTCCCCCTCACACCCACTGCCTATCTTTGTCGGCCATGGCCTTTCTCTAAATGGAATAGTGCTCATTGAACTGAACCAAATCGTTTTTATATTCATTCAATATTAATTCATAAGGTTGACATAGGAATTATGATGTATAGTTGTTATTATTATTATAGAAAAATGGCAAGGTTCACCTTTTTATCCTTCCATTCTACACTTTCCCCCTTCTCTTCAATTCTATCCGTCTCTCAAACACACACACACACACACACACACACACACACACACACACACACACACACACACACACACACACTCCTGTGTAGCTCTATAGGTTGATGATTGAGTGATAATCACTCAGATTGATGGAAAATCAAGTGGAAAATATTAATAAACAGCATCCACCTTGATAATCTCCCAGATTAATATTCAGCCACCCTGAACATTTATTCTCAGCCAACCTGCGTCAGCCTGCTGAGGCCCACCGTCACCCCACTGCATTCAGTTCTGTGAAGAAGCTATAATTAGCGCGGAGCTAACGTTAGCAAATGTTAGCTGACACCTCACATAGCGTAGTGAAGAAACTTGGCATCTTAGCGTTAGCATATGCTGCTGCGGTCTAGAGGCACAGATGCAGGGGTTAGGTTGTTGACACCTACAGTTTACACACACCCTTACCCACTGCTCTCACACACACTGGCAAACACACGCACACTATGTATATATAGCAGGCATTAAGTGTGTAATTGGCAGGGTTTCACACTAAATTGACGTTCCAACAGATAGCCTCGGCGCCTTTAACCTCCTGGGAGATGTTAAATTTACAAGCGGGTATAACAGTTGGACACACACATGCATTGCATACAGTAGCACTCACAACATTTCTGTCCTTAAGTTTCCTTTTGTATTGAGATACAAAAAAGTTTTCTGGCCTGATGTGCTATTTTTTCTGAAAGACATTCAAGGACACGTTTTCATATTTATTGCCAAAATGAGTAAATTCTTGTGACTGCCCTTGAAATGTTGCTTCTATCTTTGTTCACACCATCACAATTGCAGTGAATACATTCATTCCAAAGTTGATTTGGACTAAAGTCAGAGTAATATCTTCAGTACACAAAAGATCCTTCAGTAGCGAGCTTTACTTTTGAACATTAACTTTAGAAATATAATAATTTGTTCCCAAATATTAACTCACTTCTTTAACTTAATAATTCAGAAAATATGATGGACAGGGGGAAAACAGTTTGAATGCACAGAATGTGTGCATTTACTGTAACCTGGTCTGGTCTTCATTTGTTTTGCTGAAACATTCTGAATGTCTTATGTATTTGTTCTCTCTTTTTTTGTGTGCTCGCTATATGAAATGTAGATCCCAACGCTGATCCAGCATCAGCAGAGGAGCGTCTCAGCCTGGAGGCATCCGAGCTGGAGAAGAGACTCAGCATGTTGTCTCAATGTAGCCTAGCCAGCAGCACAGGTACGTTATACTGGTAAATTCACCCTATAGGTTATATATCCAATATACAACCCATGAGCACTCTGTAATATTAATCACAAAAACAAAATACTTTGTTTAGCAACTCTAATGCAAGAAAATTAGCATGGAGTGCTTTACATTAAGGGAACATTGAATGATCATGAAAACAGAGACAAATGACATGAAAAGTGATGTTATAGTAAACAAAGTACAACATTAGAATGAAAAATGATACATAGAATGCATAACATAGGACAGAAAAATGTGTGCCCATATTTGCAGTATGCACACTTTCATAACTAACATCACAACATCAACATTTCAAAGAGAGGGACTCCAATTTTCTTATTTGACATTTTTTTGTATCGTAACAATACTAATTAGCACCTAGGTTTCTGACTATAATTAAAAACACAACAGAACCTACTTTACTCGACTTACGCAGACTGCTCTTGACATCAATTTCATATTTTGTTCAGCCTGCTCACAATGTCCTTCCTTGAGTGTAAACTCACAGTGGCTCCTGTAATGTGTCAGAGGGATAGTACTCATCATTTCAGGACCTTCAGACCTTTAGGTCTGGAGTATGCTATCATACAGGCATTTTTAATTTACACTCTGTGTGGGCTAATATACAAAGGCTTAATCACTGTTCCAAATGTATATGTCCATTCTGGGAAAGTTTTTGTCATAACTACATGTGTGTATGAATCATCATTGGTGAAGTTTAGAGGCTCAAAGGACCCATGATTCATTTTTACAGATTGAACAGCTTACAGAACATTTCTGAAAAAAACAACTCCATTATTTCTGCCTTTTTTGCAAAATACTTGAACCGTAAAAAAAGAGAGCCGTTGACTGAAAACTTTTTTCAAATTGTCATAATATTGTGTACCCGGTGCTTAGTTAGGTACACAATTTACATATGAATGATTAAATACTCGGAACATCGTAGTTAATCATTTGGTTGGTGACTGATTAATGTCTTTCAGTGTGTGTTTGTGCATATTGGATAATCAGGATCTAATAATTGTCTCTCTTCCTTCAGCTTCCACTTACAGCTGCAGCACATCTGTTGCCGGAGACGACCAAAGCAGCATCTCCAGCTCCTCTTCCAGCCAATCAGATACGAGCTACGGCAGCAGACTTTCCTTTAGGGCGGAGCCGTTAGCTCGACCGCACATCTCCACGGATACGGCATCCAGCTGCTCTACGCTGCAGGCCCTGAGCGGCTCTGATGACCGGCTGTTCGCTGCTGTGATGGGGAGCTCCGGTCCCCGCACCCCCTCCGCCCAGCTCCACCTTCGGGGTCTCAATGACAGTGGACGGCAGAGCTCATTGGACAGTGGGATTGGGGTAGCAGCAGGAAGCCAGTCCTCTTATTCAGGGAGCTACTCCTCATACACCGGGAGTCTGGACATGGCCAGCCAGGGCGGGGAGGGGGAGTTTGGCTCTGTGGGCAGCTTACCTGCTCATCTCCCTTCTTCACCTACTCCTCACCCCCCTTCTTCACCTCCTCCTTACCTTCCTTCTTCACCTCCTCCTCCACCTCCCATCTCTCCTCCTCCTTCTTCTCCTTTTCAGACCACCCTTACCCCAGAGCCTGCTTCCTCCTCCTCGTGCCCTTTCACCTCCAGATCTAGCTCTCGTGCGTCCCAGGGACACAGCGAGGACTATCAGATCCCCAGCCTGCTCCGCCTGTGGTATGACACCCCCAGGAGTCTGCTGCAGAGCCTGTCCCTGAGGGAACCCCCCCTCCAACAAGGTCCCCCTGAGCTGGGCCGGGACAGCAGGAGAGGTGTGGAGGCCAGGGGAAGTCAGGGTCAAAGGTTGACTAACAGCCCCCCAGGAGGCAGGGCGCAGCGGCAGGCCATGATGCAGCGCTCACACTCCTGGGGCAGCGAGAGGGCGCCCCCTGTGGAGGGGGAGGGGGGGTCTACACTGAGACCCCTGCTGCCGCCTGGAGGCTCTGTTAGTGGAGAAACTCAGGTACTCTCACACTCTCAAATCAATAAACCAGTCAGCCAATTTAGTAGATTATGACACATCAGAGGGAGCATCGTTAAATAATGTATGATGTGATGTTTGAAATGAAAACCCCTCTTTGTGAAGTGGATCATTTATAAATAATTCAAAAATATCTCTGTAAGTGGGAGCAGAGAAAATCCGCTTTTAAAAACATTCCACTAACACTAGAGGCAAAAACTAGTTTCCGGTTATTTTTATTTTGAAATTCAGTTCCTGAAGGACGCCAAAAAAGCCAGAGATTATGGAATTAAACCAATAAATAAAAGCAAGGATAATTGTGTGTTATTGGTGAGTAAATAACAGTGTGTTATTTTGAAAAGAATAACAAATTAGAAGAAAAAAAGATTAAAAAAATACAGATTTCAGTGTTCTGAGGCTCTGAGCCCCATTTATTTTCCTCACAGACGGAAACAAAAGTCCGAAATTATACGATTTAAAATAAAAGCAATAATTGTGGCTTGATATTGGGTAAGAACATGTTTTTATGAACCACACAGCTTCCGGTCTTCCACGACCCGACCGGAGAAAAAGACGTGCTGCAGGCGCGAAACACATTACAAGTAGAAATACATTGCTTTTAAAATCGTGCTGTGCAACACGAAAAAAAGCGGAAAATCGTGTTGGTGAACACAAATCAATAGATTAAAAATCGTGTTGGTGAACACGAAATGCCATGAGACTGGGTTGAAAAATACACAGAGAGCAAGTGAACTGGACAGCAGAGTCTAAACATAAAAAACAGAGTAAAACGCAAAGGAAATAATAAAGAAAAATACATAAATTGATTAATATGTATTTATATTTTAATGTTATAATAGTTCAAAACTAAAAGTATAATTGTTTAATTTTTGGTTGCTTTTCTTGCAATTTATGTTATTTTTCTGTGTCGTTGTTAACCTACTCTGCAATAAACCTGTTTCTGATTCTGATAGTCTGCTATTATTATACATTTTTAAACATGAAACAATAAACATGAGTTGCTAGAATCAGGAACAGAAGAGGGATTGTAAGGCAGCATGTCTGAAATCCCCCCCCCCACACACACACACACACACACACACACACACACACACACACACACACACACACACACACACACACCTGGTGCTTCCTGAAGGTGTGTATCAGGGTGCCGTTGATGTAGTTAATGGCGATGCAGAGAACCGTCACGATCACGTTCTTGTAAACGGCCTCGGCGAAGCTCCGAGAACCGGGAGAGGTGGAGTTCAGAGACGAGACGTTCATGATTATATCGAGACAATCCTTCCTGAAAACAGCATTTATTCACATTTAAGTGTTACTAATACTGCTAGTAATGAAATACATATGATTAACAATAATAACAATAATATAAATATGAATAATACAATTAGATATAACAACAAAAATACTAGTAATAACAAAAATACTAACATATCGTGAAAATTATAATAATAATACTTTTCTTTTTTTATGCCTCTTAAGGACCTCAAAGACACATTAAAAAACATAAAATCACATGATCAATTAATTTGTGATTCTCTGTCCCAGATCTGTTCAACTTATTCTAAAGGTATCTCTTATGCCCATTATAGAATATACCAATAACAATTGTGCTATGAAAATAATAATAGTACAACTACTACTTCTTATACTAATTACAATAATTATANGGAGTTCAGAGACGAGACGTTCATGATTATATCGAGACAATCCTTCCTGAAAACAGCATTTATTCACATTTAAGTGTTACTAATACTGCTAGTAATGAAATACATATTAATAATAGCAATAATAATAGAAGTAATAATATAAATATAAATAACAATTATATGAATAATATAAATAGATATAACAACAATAATACTAGTAATAACAATAATAATTGTAATAATAAAAACAAAAATACTAACATATCAAGATAATTATAATTATAATACTTTTCTTTTTGTGCCTGAAATAAAATCACATGATCAATTCATTTGTGATTCTCTGTCCCAGATCTGTTCAACTTATTCTAAAGGTATCTCTTATGCCCATTATAGAATATACCAATAACAATTGTGCTATGAAAATAATAATAGTACAACTACTACTTCTTATACTAATTACAATAATTGTATAATCATACTTCTAATAATACCACTAAGACTACTACTAATAATATTAATAATAATACAAAATGTGATTGTCTTATAAGCTCCTCAAAGACATTTCATAAACAATAAATCATATGAGACGCACTGATCCTTATTTAAACTGTTCTAAATCTTATTACTTTAAAATGTAATCATCTTATTCTAAAAATGTTCATATATTAAGTTGAGTTTTCCCTGCAAACAGCCGCAACCTTTTTTTATGTTTACGAATGCAAGTGAAGTGCACACTCAAATGTCCATTAAAGACAAATGGTTTACACATATTAAGTCTCTTGAAATCAAAACGTCAAAAGATATTTCGGTAACACTTTAGATTTGGGTACACATATTCACCATCAACTAGTTTATTAACATATTAGAGTCAAACTATAGCTTATTTTTTATGAACAAGACTTCACCTTAAAATAGGGAATTCTGAGTTAGAAATACCACATTTTTTGTTATTTTGACACAATTAACACTTGTAGTTTCATGTCTTGTTACATAAGAATAGACCATATTTGTTAAGTGCTATTATGAGAGAATGCCTTATTAGGCCCATATTGAGCATATTAAGACCCAAACTCAAACACAACAACGTCCTTACTTACAATAAATAAGCACCCATTAGAGGGTTATTAAGGACAAAAACTCTTAACTAATGGCCCAGTACTTGTATAATATGGTCATGTAGAATAAGGCCTTAATGCATGTTTTATAATGACTAATAAAGAGCCAATATACTGCTAATATNTAGAAGAAAAAAAGATTTAAAAAATACAGATTTCAGTGTTCTGAGGCTCTCAGCACCATTTATTTTCCTCACAGACGGAAACAAAAGTCCGAAATTATACGATTTAAAATAAAAGCAATAATTGTGGCTTGATATTGGGTAAGAACATGTTTTTATGAACCACACAGCTTCCGGTCTTCCACGACCCGACCGGAGAAAAAGACGTGCTGCAGGCGCGAAACACATTACAAGTAGAAATACATTGCTTTTAAAATCGTGCTGTGCAACACGAAAAAAAGCGGAAAATCGTGTTGGTGAACACGAATCAATAGATTAAAAATCGTGTTGGTGAACACGAAATGCCATGAGACTGGGTTGAGATACGAACACAACAAGACTAAGTCCTAAGCCATGCTAGCTGTGTTGTAAGGCTTGCACTTAGCATTCTAACATTAGTATTAAGCTAAAGCCCTCCTGTGGCTAACATGCACAAATAATTACAAAAATGACTCAAAAATTTGAATGTTAGGTGCGGCGGTGCTTTGAGCCTAATGCTAATGATGTTAAGAAGATAGCATCATTAGCATTATAGTTTAGCATGTTGGCATGATGACGGCCGTAGATGAAAGTTGAATGATCAGTGTTGTTCAGTTTGGAAAACAGTCGACAGTCAGAGAAGAACCATAGAGCTACGCGGCTAACATGGTTAAAATTGTAGAAGACGAAATCTGGAATGTATAGCTCAATGCCCATATAAAATCTTCATTTAGAAATGTCTTCTTCCCTTAATCATGTGTAGCCTACATGAATTACTCACACTGTGTTGAATTATTGAAGATAGATTTTCCTCGAAATGCTTCAAGGGCGAACTTTTCAAAACACTCCTTTTGCCCAACAAGGCCTGAAATAAGAATCTGTATTCAGCATGACAGTATTGGTAAGCTGCACCCTGTGAATAGTTATTCAAATACATATCAAGGTTGAGTTGAAAAGCAAATACTAATTTGTTGAGGCTTGTTTAGTTTTTAGTTTAACTGAATGAGAGTATTTCTAAACTTGGTAATCTTTGAAGTTTGTTCAGCAAATTGCCCATTAAGTGTGTTTTAGTCAGCTTTGTTGAGCTGTTATTTGAACTTCTGCCCTTGCCATATTTAAGAATCTTTGCAGAAGCAATTATTCAGCCTCACACACGCACGCGCGCACTCACACACACACACACACACACACACACACACACACACACACACACACACACACACACACACACACACACACACACACACTTCTGCTTGCAATTCAAACTAATGACTCTCTTGGGTGCCTTTGTGATATTGTGTTTCATAGTCAATGCCTCACTGGCTCATGGGGATGTTGAAAAAACTGCAGTGCTTACCACAGGGGCAGAAAAGCGGTAAACACAATCATTTCTGCATAACATAAACAAGCTTTTTATTCTGGGTATAATATGGAGGTACAACACATTTGTAAACTTGCTTTTAAGACCATACACGACTCATACTGTACTGCAATGTAATGGGAAGGCTTCCATCACAGCTTGTTTCTTCCATACGGGCTTTTTAGCCTCCAGTCCAACAATCAAACACCAGACCAAGAAAAAAAGTTAGGTGTGGGTTTAAATCAAAAACCTGTCCAGAGCCAATTTTGCATTCCCTTTGATACCTTTGTCTGAAACCCCAAAAGCCCTCAGAAGATATTTCGACACATTATATCTAATTTATTTTTTGATGGGTTGTGAAAAGCACTTCCTCCCTCGTAGTGAGGGAATTATCAGGAGCAGGAGTGGTAGCAGTGTGTCTTGTTATTCCTGACAGCTTTTTTAGGAGTGTGTGTGTTCGTTATACATCATGTTGATACCGAAAAGAGAGATTGAGAGTGAAAGGTGACCGAGAAAGTTTAATGAGTAGTGATGAAACGGACGGAAACCTTCAGAGAGGAGAGTCCTGTTGTATGAAACAATAATGAGTTCCTTTATTCGTCATTTCTCAACTCTTTAGTGTCAGCAGTTCAATGCTGCAAAAAGCGTGAATCCTTCATGTCGGGTAATGAGACGATTCCCCAGTCCACAAGTTGTATTGTGTGCTTTGGGAAAAAATATTCCTGAGGCACGAGCCTTCTGCATATTAGCTGTATTGGGAAGTAGGAAAAAACACAAATATATCTCATGTCTAGGCCAGCCTTTTATTTTGTCTACCTCTCAAAATGTTCGTTCTGTCATCTTGGCTCTATATCAAAAATGTTTTTCTTCATCTCATGCCCTTGCTCTTCCTTGTTTACCTTATCAGTCTTCTTCAAAGCCTCTCTGTCTCTCTCCTCTCCATACCTAATTTCTCCCCAGTTTGAAAATGTTTTCTTTGTAGCCATGAACGTTGAATGTTTCGGTTAAATTCAATGAACACGCTAAACTCTTTTCTTTCTAGTGCGGTCATGGTTTGGACAAATACATTACACCAGAGCAGTGGCGTTCAGCGAGGAACAGATGCTTGAGTCAGGTAAGAATGTGTTGTGTTATTGGATCCAGGAGTTGTAAATAAGAAGCTTCTATAGGCTTAAAACAGGACTACTTAGCATTTTAAAATAAGAAATAACACACTCTTTACGCTTTATTCAGGAAAAGTGTTATACATATACAAAAATATATGAAATAATGGTTTTGTTATTTATTTTCTAGGTTGCCAGATCACCATCAAGCCCCTCACCTTCTGCAGATACACAAGGTGTGTTTGTGAATGCAACAAGTTTGGCTGGGTCTAATAAGTGATGGAAAGTAACACAGTGAATTTGATTATCATACATACCTTTTTTAAAGCATACTGTACTATGATTTACTTAATTAAATACTATGTCATGACTATTTTTAATTATACTATATCTTTCTGTTTTGGAAAAACTGTGTTATTGACTTTTTCATGGTAAACTAAACTATGACCTTTTTTGTCATACTATATTATTATATCCCGTGTATTTTTATCTAATATTTTTGACATACTGTCACATAATATCTGTTATTTTAGATATTTTTGCAGTTTTTTCAAAAATGGTAAACATACTATACTATGTCATTTTCTTGTAGATCTGTACTATATTATGCTTTTCTTCCTCATATTTACAACATACTTTACTATGCAGTTTGTCATTTTTTCTCACATTCTCAGTTTTTCCCAACATAATATAATAGGTTTTTCCTGCTTTTTCGATGTACCATACTGCAGTTTTGAAGTACTATATTTTATGTTCTTATATCTGATATATTTTTGACATGCTTCACTATTTGATTTCCCCATGCTATACTATCTCGTTTCCCCCACTATTTGTTCAAGTTACTGCACTAATTAATTTCTCTCATGCTTTGGACATATTTTCGACAAACAATATTATTAAGTTTTTCCACATTTTTGTCAAACTATTTTATTAATTTGGTACTGACTTACGCCCCTTTTTTTCTGATATTTTGAAGATGCTACACGATCTATTTTGACATACTATTTGTAGACTTTTTTCTTCTATGTACTATCCTATTATTTGTTTCTGATATTTTTCTAAATTCTAAACTTTTCTTGATTGTTTTTCGACATTCTACACTATTTCCGACATACTTTTTTATGACTTTAATTTTTGAGAATACTAAACTATGACTTTTTTTTCACTTTGTACTTTAATTGACTTACATCTCAAAACTTTGTTACCAGATCATCCTCTCTGTGTGAGAGAGGAGCAGGATGACCTTGCTGATAAGTGTGAAAGTCCGAGAAGACCGGGGTCCTCCCGGCCACCCTCTGCCCCCCCGCCTCCGCCTGTGAACCTGAGACCAACATCAGCCTGGGGTAACACAATCACTTATCAAATATATAACATCCTATGATGTTATACATTTGATGTTTGATGTTATACACCAAGACGGTGTGTTTTTCCATCAAGAGTAACTCATTGTTTACATACTGACACTTAATCGTGCTCGTCCGGTCTCATATCATAATTTCAAAAGCTGTCCTCTGATTCTCCTTCAGGTATGACCCAGTCTGCCCATCAAGCTCCTCCGTCGGTATCCCTGGAAAGTTGGCACCATATTGACAGCACTGTTAATTATGTCAACATCCCCATCAGCGCCCTGCTCTACACGGAGCTGGATCTGCAGGACCCCCACTCAGCTGTCAGAGGTAACTCTTTGCAGCTCTGCAGACCCAGTAAGAACACCCAGAACTGACTTTTCCTGCTTCTATCGGATTTACTTTTAGTCAGCCTTTGCATCTCACAGCTTCACTTCTTTTTGCATTCTGAGCATACACAGCCTTCACATTTTAATTATCAGCATGTTTACCAATTCCTTCAAACGCCCGACCACAGAAATAGATAAACCTACAAAACACTCTTCCTCCTACAGTTGGTTTGGGTTAGAGCATTCTGCTTTTGCTGCTTATTATCCTGCGTACCTCTATATCCCTTGGTTTTATTTGAAGAAATAAAAGTTTTCTTTGCAAGAAAGAAAAGACCCAACTGGTCACTACACTGCAGGCAAAGGAAGAACCAATTTATTCATGAAAAGCACACATGAATGAAACCATCTCTTAGTGCTAATTGATGCTGTAAAGTCACACAGTTACTGGACTGTACAAATAAAAGCAATTTACAGAAGTGATGAAACAATTTAATTGTCCTAAAATGTTAAGCTCTGAATAGGCAAGTTGAAGAGAGCACCCTAAAAGGTATAATCTCAAAGGGAACAAAACAGATATCCTCCAGATTGTACCTTAAAATTGTCTTTTTCTTAACGGTTTAGAGTTATAATCCAGCAATACTCTTGAAAAAAACGTTTTAAAAAACTGTGTATGTTTCAGTTAAATGCATTTCAATGATTAATGTGTTCCTGCATGTGATGAATTTGAACTTCAATTTACAGAACACTTGATTCAAAGTAGAAACACAGTTCAACGGCTTGTCTTTTCTCCCCCTTTGTCGCTGATGTCCTGAACCAGAAGAGGGCTCCATCAGGTACGCCCACCTCGACATCGCTGCCATGGAAACAGCTCAGCGAGTGGGGGCGGAGCACGTTCAGGGCCGGGAGGACAGGCTGAGTCAGCAGGAGAGGCGGTGAGGGCCACCAAACTGACTCGCAGCGGCCACGACTCACTTCAAAACAGTTTCTCTGCATCTCTCTGAATAGGCTCAAGGGATTAATTGCAGTTAATCAAACACATTGTTGTACTTAACACACCCACAGTTGTGCCAGTGTACAGATACTGTCACAAACAATCCATTCCACTAAGAAAAATATGTCTGGGAAGTCTCTAATGCAGCTGCCATCTTGGATGTGTTTAGTGTTATGTTAAAGTTCTTATATTTTTAAGTTAGTGATTTATTGAATTTCTGGAAGACGTTTACCCAAGGACTGTTCCTTTTTGTTGCATGGCACGTAATATCTGCTGAGTTAGGAGGATAAACTGCTTTTTTTAAGATCCTCTCAGGTGAATGGTGAGCATTGGTATAAAAGCCTTAATTTTGAGTGAATTGCATCCAAACACAAATGTTTACCACTAATATGATATTCAGATAGGAGAGAGCAGCTATGCTTGGCATTTCTTATGTGTTGAGATGGATTTCTTTTTAGATTTCTTCAGACTGCGCGGGCGTGGCTCTATCTGTTGTTTCTGCACAAGAAGTGAGAGGTCAACGAGATCAAGCGCCTTACAATTGAGCGTTAAGAGTCCCAGCTCGGCTATCATTCCACATCAGAGCTTTAAAGCATTCGATTTAAATAAGCAGTTTGGAGTAACGTCTGGGTGCAGATCACATTAAACAGGCCCGTGTGGCCAGGCAGGACAGGAGCATTATTCATCACAGTAATCAATGTCTGCTTCGGGTCAGGATTGATGAAGGGAAAAGCATTGTGTGTGTTCCAGTTTATCCCCTCCCTCCTGATATCATCATGACAAGTCGTCCGATGTTTGGCGCTAATTTCTTTTTATGGTAGCTGTAGCAGCAGTGTGAGGAGAAACACTAGGAAGAGTTCGAAAAACTTCTTCCAGTCACTACAGGGGCTGCTCTCCTCTACACGATTTGTAAATAGTAACTGCTTTTATTTATGCCACGTGGATAAATGTATATTTTTGAGATATTACTCTTTGTATATTGACAGCATCTGTATCTCACTTATTAAAATAATGCTGTTAAATGTTCAGGTTTCTGTGCTTGTTACCTGAATCTGCAAAACATTCTTCATTTTATATTGATCGGACCATGCCAAGGAGCAACTGTTTTTCAGCTAATGTAGAGTTACTACAGTAGTCCCAGTCTATCTGATTTAGGATTTACAAATAATGGCAGATGAATGTTTGACGATACAAGATGAAGAAGTCCTGCAACTATCAGCATCTGGTTCAGAGTGACTGTCCATACCTCAAAACACCCACACACCATTTTTCTTTCTGGTAGCAACGCCGCATTTTCAGCCAGACATTTCTCATAGACCTGTCATTAGTACAAGTAGTAACAGACGAGTATGTAAACTAATTCATCTTTATTTTATGTGACTGATAATCTGACTAGCTTGTCACCCGGATAAATCCAGCTGAATCATACAAAAACTGATATTATGTACAAACATTTCATTCATTCAGTGATTAAAAGGGAAGAGTGGACGTGTAACACTAAGTTGAAAACACTGATCTGTTTGGACAGTAGATGAAGGGGGAACGCTGTGTGTGGTAGTGGAGGGAATTATTTCAGTTGTTGATCCTCAGAGCTCGTTGTGTTCCAGTCCCTCGCGAGAAATCTTGTTGGACAAGTCCTGCATATGTTTCTTCATCTGAAATAAAAACAATAAGAATACAGACGTCACCATGTGACTGCAAGGCACATTCCTGTAGATCTTTACTGGTGATGAGCTTACAAAAACTCTGCCTTTGCAATGATGAGGATCAGAATTGTGTGTTACTATCTAGAATTTGAGTTCTTTTCATAGTAAATAGCGACTCAATTAATATAATGGGAGGCCTTAATTACTTTATTAATCTTTAATGGTATAAAGATAACCGTTATCTTTATGCCATAAAAGAGGCAATATTTTAAATAAACCATTAGCTGTATTCCAAAAATGAATACCAGGCTGACACATTTAAACATTAGCTGGTATTATAAATAATAACATGACACCATTGTCAATTTGGACCATGTTTGACATTTGGGCATTCTTAGTGTGCTAAAACACAAATGATGCATATGATTTATCTCTAATTAAGATGCATGCTTTACACCAGAAATATAGTACAAGCATTTTTTGATATAATGTGGAAGTATTAACATACTATTTTTTTGTGTGAGGTTTGATTAAAAACTCATACAGTCTTTTGTTTGTTATCAATAGTTGTTGCAACTCAAACAAGAATCAAGAGACTGCTCTTTTACAACAGGAACAATATCCTTTGTCCTGTCTTTTTTGTATCATAGATTATTATTAGTATTATAGCAGTGTTTAATACCTCCGCCATTTTGCAACATTAGTCGATACTTTGCAGGCACACAGATAGCAACTGTTTGATGGCAGAATGTAGAGCTTACAGACAAACGCACCTTGTAACCCATCTCCCTGGTCTTCTCAGCGATGGTGTTGTACTTCTCCTGGTTCCTCTTGATGTGCTCCTTGTCTCCTAGAGACTCCACGTGCTGCAGCTTCTGGTGGGAGAGCTCCAGCTGCTCCTGGTAGTGGCTGTGCTTCTCCACCTTCGTCTCAAAGTGACGCAGCTCCTCCTAAGTGAACGAGGAAAAGCGGGGCGGTGAACACAGAGAGGCGAGTTCAGTTCACCTTCAATTACATGCACAGCTGCACAGGGGAGCCGATATGCATCTCAAGTAGTGAATATAAAAGGAGAAAAGTTGAGCTGAATCTTTTCTGTGACATTTTGAAGCCAGAGGTCCTGAAATGACATTTTTAAACTGAATCGTTCACGGCTATTATCTGCTTATGGGACAAAAGGTGAAAGGAGCAGATAGGAGAGTGGAATACTTGGGAATTTGTAATGTCTAATGCATATGGGCTAGTAATGTGTACCCTTTGGGCTTACCATACTTACTAAAGTAGTACTTAGTTACCAAGTGCACTGCAAAAGTTAGATTGTAGCACTCAGGTAAAACAAAAAGTGTTAGTGTGAAACAATTCAGTGCATCAGCACCGAGATATTTACCTTGAGAGAGTCCAGCTCGTTGTCGCTGAGGTTTGCTCTCTTGGCCGCCTCCCACAGTTCAATCACACGGGGCTCCCGGAACTCTGCAGACGACAAACAACCAGAAACAAAGATGAAGAGTTGAACAGTTCAAGAGAGTTTGGAGGCTCACTAATACTTTAAACACACCCGAGAGAGAAGGAGCTTTCTAAAATACAATAACAGAACGAGCTTGGTAGCTTATAGGGGCCCTGTTATTTTCATTTTCAGGTTCATATTAGTATTTAGTGCCTCTACTGTGACATTGCTTACATGCTTTAATGTTCAAAAAGGGGGGAACTTTGATGACCATTTACATGCACAAAAACTTATACAACACACTACAGGAAAGGGTAAACCACAAAAATCCCAACAGGGTCCCTGTAATAATTGTCTATATGTATACACAATATAAAGAGGGAAATACCAAACAAGTGATAGTATCCTTTACCTCCCCTCAAAAATTAGTCTACCAACATTTTTTGGATTAAATTCAAATCAGCTGTCACAGATTTGTAAGATGTGTGACAGAACCAGAGGGAGACAACTTGTTTGGAAGAGGTGGCAGGAAGTAAGGGGGGGGATTAGAACCAGTGGTAGAGGGAGAAGCACCCTGGAGGGGATTTAAAGGAGAGGAAGTGAACGAGTCAGCAGGTTAACCACCTTCATCTAAACTCTCTAAAAAGCCTGCACAACTGAGACACAAACACATACTGCAGTACACTCAACCACAACACACCAGCAGAATGTGAAAGATAAAACACAACACCAATAAAACATTTAATAAGGGAAGTTAAAATAGCACAAGGACAAGCTTTAGCTAGTTTACACAAGTGGATGAATGAGGCTGATTAAACTGATAGAATAAACACAGACTAAGATTAATAAAAAGATGACTTGTGTGTGTGCGTGTGTGCGTTCGTGCGTGCGCGCGCGTGTGTGTGTGTGGTCTCCCTCACCGCTGTCTGTAGAGAAGCCTTCGCGGCTGATCTTGCGGAGGCGCTCGAAGCCCTGGTTCAGGTCACTCATCTTCTGCTTCAGGTCCGAGTGCTTCTGGTGTAGCACGTGCTCCTTGGTGTCGCCCTCCAGAGCAGAGATCTCATTCTTGTGGATTTCTTCTGAGGCGAACAGACCGAGGAAGAGAGGGGAGAGGAGGTGCAAGGGCAGGTTAGGTTAGTGTGAAATTACAAGCAATTAAGTATGCAGTCCCATAGTATGACACCATCCATTCTGCAGATTTGTTCTCAGGTCTGCATATTAACTGATCCTTAGCCTGGTAATAAACTGCCTGAAATCTAAACATGTGCTCCAAAAACAGAGGTGCCACAAAGATGAAGATGGACATCACAGCTGTTACTATCTGCCTGGTGTGACCTCTTAAAGAGGGACTATTGTTTTTTTGGGGGGGGTTTCCCTTTCCTGTAGTGGGTTTTTGTGCATGTTATGGCACATTTCCACTGCAGGGCCTCTCACGGCTTAGTACAGTATAGTTAGGCCTTGGTAGGCCAGGCTCACTTTATGCTGCGTTTCCATTACAGTTTAGTAGCTGGGGCAGTAACTATAGTAACGCAGTGTAGGCGGAGCCGTGACGTCATCTTCAATGCGAACCACAGAAAACCAACATCAGCTGTTAGCT